CCTATGGAGCCCTGGGCCCAGAGCTGTCCCTCCCTGCCTCCTTGGAAGTTATGACTCCGTTTCTTATTTTGAAAAGAACAACTTTTAGCATCCAAGCAAACATGGGGGGCCAGTTACCTTAATTCCTTCATTTCACAGCTGGAAAAATGTGAGGTCAACTTTGGAGACAATAAGCATGTCAGGGAGGGGAAAAGGAAGGTGGAATGTGAGTGTGGAAAGGTAAGGATTTCTGCCCTATTTTAGAATGGGGGGATCTTTAATGTTTAATTTAGACTTTTCTCCATTTTCCAAATTTCCCATAATGACACTATCAATCCAAAACATAGTCACTCCCAAATGCTCACTTTTTTTTTCAGATGCCACATATATTAGGTATGTCATTCTCAATATATTAAAAATGATACTAGCTTCAAGTTATCTTAAGCTGCCCGATATACCCTCAAAGTCAAAGATCCATGTACTTGTCTTTTTCTCCCGTTTACCCTCACTTATTTCAGGTTATGAATAGAGGGCCATCCTCATTAGCCCATGTGAACTGGTAACCCAATCACTCTGTAACACTGCTCCATTTATAACAAGAGTAAGCGTTTGTTGGGTTATCCAGTTGCCATCGAGTTGACTCTGACTCATGGTAACCCTATGTGTGTCAGAATACAACTGGGCTTTATACAGTTTTCAGAAGCAGATCACTAGGCCTTTTTTCTGAGGCATCTCTGGGTGGACTCTGACCTCTAACCTTTCAGTTGGCAGACGAGCACTTTCACCTTTTGCACCACCTAAAGACACCAAATATTGGGTTGGCCATGTTCTAAGAGTTTTCCAGACACCATAACTCATTTGACCCTTTTAAGACTGGTAGCATAGTGTCTAAGGCACTTGACTGCTAACTGAAGGCTGGCGGTTCAAGCCCACCAGCCACTCCTCGGAAGGAAGGTTGGGGCAATCTACTTCTGTAGTGATACCGCCTCAGAAACCCAAGGAGGGGTCGCTATGAGTCAGGTCTGACTTGACGGCACATAACAACAACAACAACATGAGGTGGTAATATCATGATCCCCATTATACAGATTAGGAGACAGGGCACAGAAAAATTAAGACCATGCCCTAGGGCCCATATCCTGTGAGCATTGTTAGAGCTCAAGAGCTTCCACAAATGACTGGTTTCTGGGGCAGTGAATGAAAAGTCACTACTCAATAACACAGGTCATAGTTCTGAAAGTCCTGTAATGTTAAAGTGTGAAGCTCTGGGCAGCCCAGGGTGAGTTTGTTTAGTCTTTTCTAACCTGAACGTTGCTATCCACCATTGCTTCTTAGCATTCTAAAAGCCTGCTTTTAGCACCTGCCTCTCCCCAGCCCCCAATTCTATTTTGTGGTTTCTAACTCATTGTGTAAGGAACTCTGGTGGCACAGTTGTTAAAAGTGTTTGGCTGCTAACCAAAAGGTTGTGGTTTAGACTCACTAGTTGCTCTGTGGGAGAAAGATGAGGCAGTCTGCTTCCGTAAAGATTTACACCTTGGAAACCCTGTGGGGCAGTTCTACTCTGTCCTAAAGGGTCACTATAAATTGGAATCAACTCAATGGCAGTGGTTTTTGGGAATTCATTGTGTGTAGGGAAATCAGACGGGGAAAGCAAAACAAAAACATAGCTTTATTTCTTTCTGATTTGTAATTCCTTCTTGAAAAAATAAATTAAAAACCATGGCAGAAAGACCTGGTGGAAGTTCTGAGGCATTGCAGCACCAGCAAAGGGCATGGACTTTTAGCAAAACTGCTAATTCATCAGAGACTTTTTCTACTCCTTCCAGGTGCTTAAATTCTGGGCAGTTACTAGGCGAGGGCCTGATGGGTAATTGAAGTATTTACTGACAGACTCTCATTTCACCCATGTGCCCACAGGCAAGAAAGGCCTGGGCCTCTGCCTTTGCCAAGAACATGCCCAGAGCCACATAAAACCAGCATCTGTGAGGTTTCTTTGAAGGAAGCAATTAAAAAATTTTGACCCAGAGACTCCCCAGACCCAGGAAGCATTTCCAGGTGGCTCAGTTTCCCCTCACAAGCTGCTCCCCAAAGAAGTCCAATCTGAGCAGCTGCACGCACACATGCACACACATTGTCCTTCACTAAGGGGCACAGTCCCCTGGTTACAGGAAGTGTGTTTGCCCTGACCCAGTCACACTCCTGGTTCTTCTTTTTGTCCAGAGCAAACATTTCTGAGACAGACTAGACTAGAATATAGCTAACACACACATCTTTGGCCTCATTAAATGGCACACTGACTTGAAGGAGAGAAGAGTAGGAGAAATAGTGACAACCCTGAACTGTGGGCAGGGGACCCATAGTCCTTCTAATCCCTTTTCCCATAAACCAATCAGTGACCTTGATCAAATTACTTAATCTCTCAGTGTCTTAGTTGCCTCAGTTGTAAATACCACCTGCCCTACCTTTCTCCCTGAGTAGCTAGATTACATGAAGTTGGCCATTGGAAGCATTAGGAAACACTATCTACTCCAAACAAGCAATGACAAAGCCACTCTTAAACCCTCCCCTGCATCTGCAGCCCAAGTCACTGAAAAGTCTGCACCTACACTGATGCAATAAGCCATGAGGCTGGGTCACCACTCACTTCAAAAGCAGGAGTTGAAGGGACTTGGATCTAAAACCAGAAAACCATGATAAAGAAACAAAGCATCCCTTTCTGGGGTAGGTAGTAATGAGGAAACACTCCCATCCCCATTCTTGCACCCGATTTTGGCTACTGCCCCTGGAGAGAAAAGAATGTTGTCCCTTTAGGGTCCCACCACCAGGTCAGAGCCCAACAGCCACAATGCCTCCCAGAAGGAAAGAATCCTTTAACCCCATCATCGTCTTCCCTCCCAGGGAGAGCTGATGTCTCAGCTTCAGTAGACTTTTGTTTTTTTCTCATTCCCAGCATCCACCTAGAATTAATCCCAAAACTTTAAGGATCTCTAAAAATACCAATTCTAAGAAGTTGGAATGCTCTTTAGAAGCAAGAATGGCCAGACTTTGTCTCTCACACTTTGGGGGACCAGTCCCTGAAAAAGGATATCATGCTTGGTAAAGGAGAGAGACAGCAAAAAAGGAAAAGACCCTCAATGAGATGGACTGACACAGCAGTTGCAGCGATGGGCTCAAGTATGGCGAGAATTGTGAGGATGGCACAGAACAGGGCAGCGTTCCGTTCTGTTATATATACAGTCGCCATGAGTAGGAACCAACCAGACGGCTCCTAACAACAAATAAAGATTCCAAACAGCAAGCTGCCATACACTGAACAAATGCTGGATCTCGTCAAAATCCTAATAAGCCACCTCACCTGCTAAGCAGGCTTTTGCTAAAAATTGTTTGGATCCCATCATCACAGATCTTTGTCAAGGAAAACAGCCTGGACATTTTTTTTTTGTTTAAAACACCAGCCTGTCTCATAAGTAGCAGACAGTGATCAAATTTTCCAGGAGGAAAAATGGGAACAGCAGGAAATCAAGTCACTTTGTTCAGGGTTTGCTGTTTCCACAGGCCAAGCCATGAGGAGCTCTGCCTCAATGACTCAAGACCAAACATAACTCCAAGACTCAGAATCCAAAATCATGGGGAACCTGGAGGGGGAGCCAGCTGGACTTCTCACTCAACTGAACCTGGCTGGGTCAGCAGAAGCCTCCAGGCTGCAGTTTTTCCATCTGTGTACTTGAGCTGAGAAACCAAGAGAGGCTCAAGCTTGGAGAATCCAAACAAATGACACTATATCATCTCAAGGGATGAAATTAAACTATTAAGGGTCATGAAAAGCAGGCGAAGTCAAGTAAGATACTTCTCGCTCCCTCTCCGTTAGAACTCACACCTATCCCACAAATATAATCCCTTGAAACTCACAGTATCATCTGCCATGGACCTTGGGATGGAAAGCAACTTGTCCTAAGCTTCCAGAAGAATGCTTCTGGGCAATAGGTCCCATACAACTAGTTCTAGTCCACTGACAACTCTTCAGAAAACTCAGCTTCCTCCAAGCCCAAGCACTGAAGCAGAGAAGGCCTCACATCACAGAAGGGACCATCAATAGGCAAAACTTAACCAATGATCCAGAAGCTCTCAGCCCAGTGGATAGAGAATGAAGATACCAGGTTGTGGTGCAAACATTTTTTTACTGGTGAGGGCAATGTAAGAATATAAGGAGCCAAGTAAAGGTGGGTCAGCTGCCTGTTTCCTAAGATACGTTCCATGAATGGTAATACTACTTCTTGCTAACTAGGGGCAGATCACCCAATAAGCAAGACAAAACCAAACCCAAATCCACTGCCAGTCAATTGAACTCATAGTGACCCCACAGGACAGAGTAGAACTGCCCCATTGGGTTTCCAAAGTTGTAAATCCTTATGGAAGCAGACTGCCTCACCTTTCTCCTGCCAAGCAGCTGGTAGTTCAAACCACTGCCTTTTGGTTAGCAGCCAAATGCTTTAACTTACTAGATGTGAAATTGTTCACTACAGATTAGTAAGTAAGCACAAGTAAGCCTGGGCTTACCTTGCTTACTAGATACTCCTCTGTCAAGAACTGTAAATCTGAAAAGAGGCTTTGATTCTGAAGGAAGGTGCTGTGGGGAGAGAGACAGATGCCAGCCATTTCTAGAAGCAGAATCTTTGATGTGGTGGAAAAAAAAGTGTAAAAATTTGCACTACAGATAGTAAGCACAAGTAACCCTGTGCTTACCTTGCTTACTGGGTATTCTGTATGCTAACAGATGCAGCCCAACTACTTGACATTGTCCTGTGCCCCCTCGTTGATGTTTGCAAAGGTGTGAGCTGCGTGCAAAGCATCCAGATGTTGTTTTTGACATTTTGATATTTTAAGAAATGCTAAAGGCCACCACCAGCCAATTAGGAATTAACCCTTAGGAGTATATGACTGGCTGCGTGTGTATATGGACTTGAATGTACGGAGAGTTGGCATGTACCGGTGCGCCCTCGGGGAGGTGGGGGAAGCGTTACCTGGTTAGGTCAAGGAAAGAGTCCACGGTCTCTTTGGGGACAGGAGGAGGCCCCGGCTCATCCAGACCCAGGTCGCTGGACTGAAGAGTCTGCGCGCCGGATCCTGGCTTGATGATGAACGCCAAAGCGACAGCGAGCGCCGAGGCGCCCAGAGTGGTGAGGGCGAAGTAGGCGACGGCGATGCCGCCTAGACGCCCAAGGGAGCTAGCGTCCAGGGAGGCGGCGCCGGACACCAGGCTGCAGACCACCAGTGGCAGGATGATCATGCGCAGCATGCGGAGCAGCATCTCCCCGGGGAAGGCCAGGTAGGAGATCTGCGTGCGGTTTAGCCCGAGCCCGCGCAGAGCGGTGCCCAGCCCAGCGCCTGCCAGCACCCCAGACACGGTGAACAGCACGAGCGCATGGCGCCGCAAAAAGCCAGTGCAGCGCCGAGCGCGTCCAGCCTCCTCCCCAGACGCACCCGCCCCAGTCTGGGCGCCGTCGAGGTAGCCGTTGGTCTCGCTGCTATTTTCCATGGCGCTGCTCGCAGCTCGGCGCTGGAGGAGGCTGGGGACTTAGGGTCTAGGAAAAGACCCAGCCCTCTCAATGAATGGAGTAGGGTAGTGCAGGCGAGGTCCGCCAGCTGTGCCCCGCAGATTCTAGCAGCTGGGCCGCTGGAGTCCCTTGACCTAGGCGTAGAGCCAGATGAGAAGAGGACGATAAAAAGTGCCGGAGCCCGGGCCAGTGTGGAGCTTGCCGTGTTTAGCCTTCTCAGAGTCACCGCCGGCTGGAGATGATGCAACACAGCAGCCGCCAGGCAGGACGCAGACTGGGAGCTAGGGAGGGAGCAGGGAGCGCCCTCAGCCTGTCCTCTTCCCACCCGGCGCCCCGCCCCTCAAGGCTTCGACCAATCAGCGCCCGGAAGCCGCTGCGGCGGGCCCCTCGCCGCCGTCGCGGGGGGAGGGGCGGCCAGGATGGGGCGCTGTCCCAAACCGCAGGGGGTGGGCAGCGCGGCCTAATCCGGGTGACAGCAGCCGCCTCCCGGGCCGGCTAACGGAGACCTGCTCCGGGCGACCGCGGGGCGGCGCAGCCTGAGGGACGGCCCCGGCTCGTTGTCACCTGCCGGGGTGGCTGGGGCCCGCTGGCGTCTGGGCTCTGGGGGTCTGCGGGCCGGGGAGAATGTGGAACGCAGCCGCATTCCTTGTCCTAGGCGCTGGGGGAGGGAGGTTCTCTCCGGGGTTGGTGCTTTCGCCTTCGAGCGCCCCGCGGTCCGCCCAACAGCTCCCCAGCCGCTCGGGTTCAGGGACCGTGCAGTGTAAGGGCGCCCAGCGCGGGCCTCCCGCCGCGCGCTTCTCCGGCATAAAATCTCTTCTTTGAGGGGTCTTGTGGCGTTGCATGCGATAAAGAACACCAGGATGCCCAGCCCAGGCCCTGGCCCTGAAACGAAGGATGCATGAAGAATGAATGAATGAGTGAGTGAATGGGAGACGCCTCAGCACAGTCTCATTACAGGTCCTAACAGAGCTTCATCTGCAAGTGAAACTGGGTCCACAGTAACACCGAAATCAGCGCTTCGGTCACGACACTGCGCGCACTGGTGGCTCCGAGGGTGGGGGCCGCTCCCATGGGCCCTGGTCACTTGGCAGCGGCAGCGGGAAGCAAACAGAAGACAGCACAACTCTTCTAGAAGAAACGGAGCTCTCTCGCCACCCAGTTCAGTGATGTTTCTATCACGTGACCTCAGCTGAAACACAAACCACTGGAATTTAACCTCCCCACCTCACGACCCTTAGCCCCCACGCAAAATCTGCGCAGACAGCTGTTTGGCTAGCCTGAAAGGATGCCTTCTTAATGTTCACATTTATTTGATTTCCTTTTTATTTCACATCTCCTCTGGTCATGGCAGATATAAGGGAAACCACTGCAGAATCTTTTTACTTTGTCACATGTAATATATACTTATATTTCCTCATTTGCTTTAGAAAGAAATAGCTCTTTTCAGACTTCTGTGAAAAGAATACTTATGTGTGGATAATTTGAATTAAGGAGGAAAGCAATCTAATATAGATTTCTTGCTGGGAAAAAAAGCCACTTTAAAACATGTTGTGACACATATTTGTGCAATCAAAATACTGTGGTAATAAACTTTAAGGAGTTGTCCAAATTTTCATTACTTGAGTATGCCAGCCACTGGGTGCAGCTTTTTTTGGAAGGGGTGGGTGTCAGCTGAAGAGCTGTACCTATTTTTATCTGGTTTTGCAGAAGGCAGTCTACTTCTCTGTGTGCACTGAAGGTATAGTTCCTACACACAAATGCTCTATTTTGCCAATCAGTCTCTCTGTTAGGTTTGGCTAGCACTTTTATGCAAAAGGCTCTCAAAGCAAGCTCCAGAAATCAATTTCCAGTTGCTTACTTTACATCTCCACCTGGATATCCTGCAGGCATTCCCACTCAACAAGTCCAAAACCGAACTCAGCACTGCCTCTTCCAAACTGCTCATCCTTCTGACTCCCTATTCATGTTATCAAAATCATTGACCACTCAGGCATCTCTTCTTGAAACCTCTAAGTGACCTTCGGTTCTTCCCTGTCTACTTTCTTCTCTCATCTGCTCAATTGCCAAGACCCATAGACATTTCTTGTGCTATTTTTATCACATCCACACCTCCCATCCATTCCTACTGGCACAGTTCTCATTTCCTCACTTCTTATCTGGACTACTGAAATGTTCGACTAATTAGTCTTCCAGCCTTCAGTGCTCCTCTTATGCCAACCATCCTGTATTTTGCCTTGCCCTTAGGCTAGTCTTCCTCATGGATAGAATACATGTAAAAATGGCATGGTGTCATCAGACCTTTTCTAACTTCATGAGAGGGAGGAGAGAATCAAGATCATCAGTTCAAGAATGGTTCATATGAAGTGGAGGTCAGAATTACCTCCACTCTCCATTTTTTTTTTTACCAATTCTGACACCAGCTGCCCTTCCCATAGTACTCTCAACTCTCTGCTGGGTGTGATAATTCATTCCAAAGGCCACATAGAACTCACAAACTATCTCATGATTATGGAGTTTTACTCAGATTCACAATCAACACCCATGGAAGCAGCAGTCAAGAAGTCAAATGACGTCTTGCCTTGGACCAATCTGCTGCAAAAGACTTCTTTAAACTATTAAAAAGCAAAGATGTCAATTGAGGACTAAGGTGGTGTTGATAGATGCTGTTGAATCAGTTTTGACTTATAGTGAGTGACCTTATGTACAACAGAATAAAACACTGCCTGGTCCTGTGCCATCCCCACAATTATTGCTATGTTTGAGCCCATTGTTGCAGTCACTGTGTCAGTTCATCTCATTGAGGGTCTTCTTTTTCACTGAACATCTATTTTACCAAGCATGATGTCCATCTCCAGGGACTGGTCTTTCCTGATAACATGTCCAAAGTACATGAGACAAGGAGCATTCTGGCTGTATTTCTTCCAAGAAAGGTTTGTCCATTCTCCTGGCAGTCCATTGTATAGTCAAGATTCTTCATCAGCACTGTAATTCAAATACATCAATTCTCTTTTGATCGCCCTTATTCACTGTCCACTTTCACATGCACACAAGGTGATTAAAAATACCATGGCTTGGATCAGGCACATCTTAGTCCTCAATGTGACATCTTTACATTTTAACACTTTAAAGAAGTCTTTTGCAGCAGACTTGCCCAGTGCAATATGTCTGATTTCTTGACTGCTGCTTCCATGGATGTTGATTGTGAATCCAAGTAAAATGAAATCTCTGACAATGTCAATTGTTTCTCCATTTATCATGATGCTGCTTATTGGTCCAGTTGTGAGGATTTTCATTTTCTTTATGTCAAAGTGTAATCCATAGTGAAGGCTGCAGTCTTTGATCTTCATCAGTAAGTGCTTCAAGTCCTCTTAGCTTTCAGCAACCAAGGCTGTGTTATCTGGCTGTTAATAAGTTTTCCTCCAATCCTAAAGCCATGTTAGAGAAGTAGCAGGCCAAAATTCAGGATCAGGAGTGACTCAGGATACAGTTCCTCAGCCAGTACAGCTTCTTGGCTGTGCCCACAGGCAGGTCCTTCTCTTGGTCCCTTGACTTGGCTTCTATCCTGCCTGATGAAGTGTCACAAAGCTCTTTAGCTTTGCCAATAAGTGTCCAGAGGCACCCCACTGCCCCAGTAAGCCTTCTGCCCAAAGAAGCTCAGCTCTCTCACTCACTGGGCCAGGAAGCCCACCATGCCCTCTTGGCTGTGGTCTGTTGGTTCTGTAGCTGCCATTTTTCTGTCACTAGACTCTGCTGCTCTCGTGGCATAGTGCCTAAGGTATTTGACTGCTAACCAGAAGGCTGGCAGTTCAAACCCACCAGCCACTTTTCAGAAGGAAGGTTGGGCCATCTACTTCCGTAGAGATACCACCTCAGAAATCCAAGGAGGGGTTGCTATGAGTCGGATCTGACTCGATGGCAGTGAGTGAGACTCTGCTGTACTCATCACCTCTTCGGGCCACTTCTTTCTGCCACTGTGCTATCTCTTGCTATGTTCAGTGTTATAACTGTTTGTGTCTCCTGGGTCTAGGAGGTTCTCAGTGCAGGGACTCTAAGTCCAAAGGACACTCTGTTCCTGCCTCTTCTTGATGGTAGTGAAATCCTCCCTCCCACCTCTGGGATTGGCTCTCTTTAAGTCTAAACCAAAACCAAACTCACTGCTGTAGAGTCAATAGTGTCTCTTAGTGACCCCTCCTTGGGTTTCCGAAGTGGTATCTCTACGGAAGTAGATTGCCCAGTCTTCCTTCCAAGGAGTGGCTGGTGAGTTTAAACCTCCAGCCTTCTAGTTAACAGTCAAATACCTTAGGCACTACACCACCAGAGCTCCTCTTAAGTCTAGTGGGATGGCAAAACTGACGGATCTCTTCATTGATACCTTATTTGCATGGTCTCACCCCTGCAAGGGGTCCATGAACTTTATTTGCATTATAAGCAGATTGTCTACTCCATTTGGTGGGCCATAGCACCTTATTTGCATAGTCCCACCCAGTCATTATGGGAGTCACCTAGACCTTGACTGTTGTTGTTGTGGAAGGGTCATATTAAAGTAATTCACTATACTGCAATGTATTTTAGAATTAAGTTCTGCTTCCATACAAGAGTAAAGAAGGAGCAACGAAGGGCATGACTTCTCCCTTGAAGGATTCCTTCTAGAAGTTGCATACATCAGTTCTTTTACATTTCATTAACTAGGATTTAGTCACATGACCACACGTAGCTGCAAGAGATGTCAGGAAATGTAATCTTTATTTTGCATGGATACATACCTAGTTTTTAAAAAATGAGGCTTCTGTTACTAAAAAAGCAGAGAAGAGTGATATTGGAGGGCACGTAGCAGCCTCCTTCCTATCATCTCTTGTTCAATAGCCTTCAGTGGCTTCCTCTTGAATTAAGGACATGCTCATCATCCTGGCATTCATCCTGGCATTCAAGGCCTGCCATGATCTGACCTCAGCTCACTGTCCAGCCTTGTGCCCTTTACATGTGCAAAAATCAGATTATGTGCTACTCCTACATTTTTACTTCCATGCAGTCCCAGTTCAGATACCCATCCCCTCTCAAA